CACGGCTAAGTGGCTGGCACAGGGGGAGCCTCCCTGCTGCCACAGGCTGCTGGGAAGGCAAGAAAGCCCGAGCCGGCTATTCCCGAACCGCAGCGGCACCGTTTCTCTCCCTTTCGGACCGGGCGGTCGGAGAGTGGAGACCCCTCACTAAAACCAGGATAAGCCAGGAGGGAAGCACAACCAAGAAACAGCCGTGCTCCCGCAACGGGGTCAGAGATGCTCACGCACCGCCTGCCCAGCCGGGATTTCCCACTGCGTTTCCGTTTTGCCGGCGAACGAAAGCGGCAGACGGCATGGCAGAGGCTGGGAGAGGGCGCTTGTGCTGTACGGGTTGGTTTTAGTCCGGATTTGGGGTGCTGCAGCATGTTGTTGCTCCGCTGGAGGTTTCCCAGTCCCTCGACCGGCGAGGCCGTCCCAGTTGTGAAAATAACCCCCGGGAATCCCGCTCGCAACTCAAATCCTGCGCTCACAGCTGGGAAAAGCGGCCCACGACGGCACACACAGGATCCCCGCGGCGTTACGGCTCCGGGGACGGCAAATAAACACGAGGGGTCGGTGGGTTTTGGTTTTTTAGGACTGGGCTCTCGCTAAGCATTCCCGACGGGGCTCCTCCCCTTTTTTTTTTTTTTAGCAGGTTACTATAATATTTCATTTGATTGTCTCGCGTGAGAAACAAGGGGGCAACCAATGCTTAACCTGCTGGCGGGTAAGAAAGCCTAAGAAGCTGATTTCTAATTTGTTTTTAAAGAAACAAAGGGGAAAGGGACTAGAAAAACACAGCAGAGAAAAATCCGAGATAATCAAGAATTGCTAATCGCAGGCATTAACATGATACTGTTTCCTGCTTCGTCAGGTACACTGAGCGTTTCTCTACCACCGACCACGGAGAATGCGTTTTGTCTGACCGCGCCGTCTTGTATTTCCCTGTGAACAGTCACAGGCTGCAAGATAGTAAATAGTTTATGACGCTGCACGGAGAAGAGCGTTGTATGCGGCGGAGCTCGATACATTATTTACCAGGGTTTGGAGCAGAAAAAGAGCGCGGGAGAACGGACAGGAGGAGAAAGAGAAGAAATCTGAGTTTCCTCAAAGAGTGCTTCAGTTTCCTGCCAGCTCAGTGTCACAGGGATGGTGTGCGGTTTCCCTTTTAAGTCATTTTAAATAAATACGCTTCTTATTCCGAGTGCTACCAACGCAGGGTCCGGGTTTTTTCCCCCCCCAGCACTGAAGAAGGCCGGAGCGCCCTGGGCGCAAACCGTCGCGTAGCGCGAGAATTTCCAGCCTGATTTTTGGACCGGCAGCACCTAGCGAGTCCGAAACCTCCGCGAGGGAGACGAGTGGCGAGAACAGTCGCGGCCCTTTCCGCGTGTCCCGTTCAGAAACGGTGGTGGTTGGGGGCGGCGGGGGGGGATCCTGAAACAGCCTCCTGGTAGCTGATCTGAACTTCTGGAAGAAAGGGCAGAGGAAGTCATCCAAAGCGAGCAGGCTTTGGGAAAACCTAAGATCTCAGAAAGGGCGTCGGGCGCAGCGGGGCGCGCCAGGGAGCACCGCTCGCCCGCCCCGGCACGTTTAGGGGCCGCCTTTAGGCTCCTTGCTATTCCCCAGCGCTCGGAGCCGCTGGGACGGTACCTCCCGGCAGGAAAAGGACGCTAACGCACTGACCCGAGGAACAGCCCGGACGCCCCTAAGCCCCGGGCGGGGGGTTCG